CAACAATGGATATGATTGATGGTGGTTCCATGAAATTATAATGGAACTGCAAAATTCTTATTTCCTAGGGGCATTTTAATGATCTTGACCCTGTGTAGGCCTAGGCTAATGTTTGTGTTTGTGTCTTAGTTTTTAACAAAAAAGTTTAAAAAGTAAAAAAATAATTTTTTTAATAGAAAGTGGCTTATAGAATCAGGATATAAAGAAAGAAAATATTTTTGTACTGCTGTAAAATATATTTGTGTTTTTAAGCTAAGCATTATTATAAAAGTGTCAAAGAGTTTAAAAAAAAACCCAAAAAGTTTATATAGTAAGGTTATAGTAAGCCAAAGTTAATTTATTATTTTGAAGGATAATTGTAAAAAATAAATTAGTGTAGCCTAAGTGTACAGTGTTTAAATCTACAGTAGAGTTCAATAATGTCCTAGGTCTTCACATTCACTCACCACTCATCCTCTGACTCGCCAGAGAATTTCCAGTCCTGCAGGTTTTGTTCATGGTCAGTGTCCTGTACAGATATACCATTTTTAATCTTCTATTCTGTATTTTTACTGTACTTTTTCTATGTTTAGGTAAACAAATACTTACCATTGTGTTAAAATTACCTACAACATTCGGTAAAGTAATGTGCTATATAGGTTTGTAGTATAGGAGTCATAGGCTGTACCATATAACCTAGGTGTGTGGTAGGCCTTACCATCTAGGTTTGTGTAAGTATACCCTATGATGTTTGCACAATGACAAAATTGCCTAATGATGCATTTCTTAGCACATATCTCAGTCATTACAGATGATGGAGCATACACTGTTAGCAATAAGCCCCCAAGGAGAAAAATAAAGCGGGATGGGGCATAAAGGATTTTACATTTCAAATAGGGTGGTTAGGGAGTCCATAAAAAGGTAACATTTGTTTGAAGACCTGAAGGAGATTAGCAGGTGAGGATATTTTTTGTAAGAACATTTAATAGGCCTAGCAAATGAAAAGACGATGAAATGAAAACATACCTGGCATCCTTAGAGAACAACAAAAGAGGTGAGTGGAGCTGATGTAGAGTGTGTGAGGGACAGAGTGAATGAAGGAGAGTGCATGAAGGAGGGGGTGAAGCCATAGAAGGTTATGGGGATACATCTTTGATATAGGTATATACCCTTTTTAAGGACTGTGGCTTTTGCTCTGAGTGAGATAAGAAACCATTTGAGGATTCTAAACTGTTGACTTCTATTTAACACTCCCACATTGACTGCTTGATTGAGAATAGGCTGCAAAAATATTATCTTAGTAACTTAAGTACTCTAATAAATAAAACAAGCATAAGAAGCATATATAGATCCTAATGTCAATTCCCTCCTCAAGAATCTACAAGTGGTTCTGTGTTACCTATTGTGTTGTTGTCTTAACTTTTTTCTTTTTCTTTTTTTTTTTTTGGAGACAGAGTCTCGCTCTGTTGCCCAGGCTGGAGTGCAGTGGCGTAATCTCGGTTCACTGCAACCTCCCTGGGTTCACGCCATTCTCCTGCCTCAGCCTCCTGAGTAGCTGGGACTATAGGCATACACCACCACACCTGGCTAATTTTTTGTGTTTTTAGTAGAGATGGGGTTTCACCATATTGGCCAGGCTAGCCTCAAACCTTAGGCCTCAAGTGATCCACCCACCTTTGCCTCCCAAAGTGCTGGGATGATAGGGGTGAGCCACCACTCCCAACCTGACTTTCATTACTTACACTTTAAAGCTCTTCGTAATCTTGCTACATTGTGTCTGTTAAATTTTATTTCTTCCAGTTCTTTTGGACCTAGGGTCAATTCTTCTGATCCTAATTCTTCTAAACCTAGGACTGATTTTAGTGTAGTTCCATTACTTATAATTTATTCTGATAAAAATAACTGGAAGGTTTTACATTTTACATACAATCAATACATGAAAGTTTTTTTCTATGACTGAAATATTTGGAAGTCTTCTTTTAAGTACTTTTGAGCCTCTTGAACCTGCGAGTAATTTATTTACTTTCATCATTTTATCAGTCAAGAGTCCTAGTTTCAGGAACCAGAATCCATTTTAGCTAGTGATTTATTTGAGGGTACTGACAGCTGACAATCTTTGGGAAAGTTAGGAAATCAGATACTTTTGTTACACACTTGAATCCCTGAAGCCAGGAGAAATGCTTAAGCGTAGGTTGTAGCTGATGAGTACCAGTTTTATTGTCTTCATTACCCCTATGGTATCTATGAAGCTAGAGACCAGTCACTAGAACGTCTATTAGAACTACCACAGAAGAATCAAATACCTCCACCACAGTGCTTCCAAGACAAGCAGCCTCCCATCATGTGACCACTGCTTCAAATGTGCTCACTTGTTCCCTCTAAATGTCACATACTTGTTTATACTTGGCAGTGCCTTGGTCATTCTAGCCCCTTAGCTGGAGTGGAGTCTGGCAAATGTTATGTATAATTTTCCATTCTGTGCAATACATGAAGGTATGCTTGAAAGAGGATTTGAATGGGTTTTGAGTATCTGTTACATTCATAATAAAAGAAATGAGAGTTAATATCGTTTTTCTGCCATCGGATGGGTAGTAGTCAACAGTTTGATAACTTTTGTATTAACGAAGATATCATGAAAGAGCCACTCATAAATTGCTGGTAGAAATGTAAATTAGTAAAACGTATAAGGGCAAATTGGTAGTAACTTACCAAAATTTCAAATGCTTATACTAATTGAGACAACAAATTCACTTCTGGAATTTATCTTAGATAGCCATATACTGTAGAAACAAATGTCCATTAATAGAGGACTGAGTAAATAAATTACAGTATATCCATAAAAGAGGAAATTCTGCAGTCACCAAAGAGAATGAAATGGTAGCCATTTGTAGGCTGCTTTGGAAAGCTCTCCAAGGTACAAAACAATAAGTTGAAGAAGCAAGTTCAGAATGTGTGATATTCTGTGTTAGAGAGAAACAGAGACTCTGAGTGTGTGTAAATTGCAACAGAATTTCTGTTTTTGTGAGGGTTTGGGAATGAGGATTTTCTTTGACATGATCAGGAACCACGTATACCATGAAACTGATTTGGCACAAAATACAAAGAAGCTACTAGGTGGTTGCGTTATAAAAGAAATCGTGTGGCTGAGGGACAGAACTGAAAAAGAGACTTAATTTTTTACTTTTGATACTGTTTGGATTTTGTATTATTTGCCTGCATTGCATACTGAAAACTAATTTGCTGTTGCCTACCAAAATATTTTTCTGAAAATAGGGAAGATAAGTCTAAAATATATTGTTAAAGAGTTTATATATTTGTGAATAAATTAAGATTTACATACTATGTGAGGGATTTTTTCTCAATTACATCAGGGTGTTGTTTTCTTTTAGACCTATCTACTATAACTGTTTATATGTTAATTGCTATTAATGACACAATATTTTTAGCTGAAAATTAGACAATATATTATTGGTTTATTCTGGGAGTGAATTGAGCATGCTTTCTATTGAGAAAAAGTTTATATTTGTAGGTCGTTTTATCACTTGTAATTTTATATGTAGAAAAGATGTGATACAAAAATGTGTGATTAACAAATATGTAGTATTAATATTAGTTCCTAGATAAGAATTCCTTTGTCTTCATGGTAAACAGAAGCAATATCATTTGCTATATAAGGTAACTTGTCTTTACTAGCATGTAAATGTTAATAAAGAGAGAACTGATTTTACATTTGCTTTTCCTAATTAATGAGATGGATATGAGAACATTATTACAACTTTGACGTTAAATTATAATGTTTTTCTTTGGAGTTTTGATGTTAAAGTAGGTATTGAAGGAAATGGTAAACTGTAGGTGTGTGAGTATATCTAATTAAAAGTTCTGCTGAGGCACTTTTGCCTTGTTGAGGGAACTTTGGAACATCTTAATGAGGGACAGAGTGAATGCAGGTGAGTGCATGAAGGAGAGAGTAATGGGGATACGTTACCTCTATGATATTTCCTTATCTACTTGTACGTATTTCTCTCTAATGTTTTCTATCCCCAGTAATGTTGGTATGCTTTATTATAATATAATCTTAACTCAAAATTTTGATTCATTCCAGATCTTCAACTACTTATTATATTATTAGTAGAGTCTAATAATACTTTTATCTAAAGTATTTGGCTGCAGTAAAAAGATGGAATTTTAAGTAACCAATCAATTTGCAGACCATTTGAGAGGGGATAGACTTGACGCATATAGGAGAGTGTGCTACTTTTCCTAACAGAACATTATGACCCAGTCACAGTTTGGAATCTGTAAGTGAGTGGTCTCTAAAATTAAGTACACACACTTATCTGTTGGGATATACTAAGAAAATAGTAGAAATTTTACTATATACATCTTGATAATACTACATGCTAAGAAAATAGTAGAAATTTTACTATCTATATGATTTTAAAAGTTTGGAAACCACTGATATTTAGGCAATTAATTTTGGATATCAAAAAACAGCAATTGGGACTGACAAATGAAGCGTTTATAACTCTCAAAGTAAACTTAGCATGTGAACTCAAATGTTTTCTTTCCTTTTTTTAAATAATATGATTAAACCTTGATGGAAAATTTTGAAACATAACATGTTCAGAGTAACTTAAGGGCATTTATGCAAATTAAGTTACCTCTTTTGCTTATATTTTGAACTAAACCTGTTTACCTTGGATGAAAAATCCATAGCCTAATGTTTCTTCTTACATTTTTTGCCAGCTGAAAATAGACTATCAACACCAAAACTATGTCCTTCCTTTTCAATTAGTTGTAGTTTCAGGCCTTTGAATGGTTAGCTTTCCTTAGTATCCAGTTTACAAACATATTCTCTGATTGCCAGATGCTGCATGGTACCAATGAGATGCTTTTTCCCACCCTGTGCTCCCGTGTACCCAGTACCTTGTGCTATGTATACTATGAGAGAGAGAGAGAGCGCAATAAGTAAATGCCTCCTAATGGCTATCATTTATGAATATTCATGTTTTAAATCTCAGATATTCAAGATTAAAGCAGTGCAATTGGCTGAGAAACTCCTTCCTGCCTTTAACACACCTACTGGGATTCCTTGGGCAATGGTGAATTTGAAAAGGTAACTCTATATGGGCATTCTTATTCTGGAAGAATTATTTTGACCTTTTTAGTCTTAGAAATTTCTAATGAGTCACCCCCACATTTTTTAAAGACTTATATTGTTTTTCTCTCTATATATAATCTTTATTTTCTTCTGTGTATATGCATAAATGTGTTTCTTTAAAACATTTTCTGATTTTTAAAATATGTCCTTTACTTTGAAACAGGTTAACTGTCTTAACTTAATTGCAGTTTTTACCGCTTGTTTCTCTAAGTCTAGATTTCTCTTCTTCACCTGTATGGTATACAGGATTTGTTTCTTTTATTTGCTTATTTGTTTCCATTTAGTGCTAGAATAGGGTCAAAGTACATTCCCCCTGTTTTTCTTTTTATATACCACCTGCTGATCTTCTAAGTGAAAATAGAAAATAATATACCTAGAAATGAGGGCTTCCTATTGCTGAATGTCATATTAAAGATAAAGACATAATTCATGATGTTGACTGCGGGGTTTTTATTGTAGCATCTATGCTATTGAAGTTCAAAGTGAACTCTTAAGCATTATTCTTTATAATCTGTTTTATTCTAATTGAAAACATTGGTTTTTTACATAGAAATAGATGAAATATTTTCTTTGGACAACTTTATAAATTATGTAAAGGTACACAATTAACATTTGAATAATGTCAGCATATTTGAACTTGCGTTTAAGTAATTTATGCTGACTGAAATTTGTTCTGTTCATTTTTTCTCCTAGTAAAATTTATTCATCATAATGTTGGAATTTGGAAATTACCTAAAAATTTGATTGTTGTTCTCCTTGCCTTCAGACCCTTTAGAATAAAAGTTAGGAACGTTTATTTTTCTAGAGATGTGAATCTATGACATTATTTTAAAAAATGACTCGATTTTAGTAAAATGTTTCTAATTGAAGAACTTTATTGAGTTTAGATTTACATTGAGATGTCAGCAGCATTTAATATTGAACATTAAATCTAACTTTACTATCTCTGATTTCATGCACTATATATAGTGCAGATTACCTCCTTGGTGAGGAAAAAGCTGGTTGGCGTTCCAGAGCAAGCTCCATGGAAGGATATGGCCAACTGATGTTGTGTATACACTTATTCTCTTTCCTTAGCTTTGTGACAGATTTTGTGATATTTCTTTCAGGATTATTGTCAGAATCAGACATTATTATCTACTTAGATAATAATTAAAACTTAATTCCGATAGGAAGACAGACTGGAGGTTCTTTTGTTTGTCTACGTAGAGGAAAAGAACTTGAAAATCAAGATTAAATTGCAGAACTTCTAATTTAAGATTGAGATTAAAGTAAAAAGGTTTCCAAGGACCATGTTGTGAGCTTTTTATAAGATAAATTTTAATTTAATTCATTTGGTATATAAACAAATACATAATTTTACTTGAGTTTTTATATCATGAATGTAAATATTTACCTATTTAAATGTTTTTAAATAAATTTTTTGCAGAGAAGGGATCTTATTTTGTTGCTTAGGCGGATCTCAAATTCCTGGCTCAAGCGATTCTCCTACCTCCCAAAGTGCTGTGATTATAGGTGTGAACCACTGCACCTAGCATTATTTACCTGTTTTTTAAAGTTTTTTTTTTTCTTGACTGGGGTCTACGTATTTCCCACACATAGGCCTTTCGTCAGTCTTGATGACTGAAAGCCAACCCATCTTAATAGTCTATTCGTATTTATCTTCTACAATATGATACAGCAGACAGAAATAAAAGCAGAGCTTTTTTTGTAATCTTTATTTGTTTTATCACTTTAATGGCTTGCTTTTCTGCTTATCTTTCTCACTCAATAATAGTCCATGGAAACATGATTCCAAGTTACTCAGTAAAGATCTAAATAAATCTTTGTGATGAATACCGAGTGAGAAATGGGATAGTTATACTATAATTTATTCATTAATTTTCATATCAGTGGTATTTGTTTCCATTATTTTCCTACCACAAACATTGCTACAATAGCATCCTGTTATACATGTCCTTATGTAGTAGGAATTTTATTTCTTGGACAGTGGTTCTCAAGAATATGATTGCTATATCAAAGAGCGTGTGCCTTTTTTTTTTTTTTTTTTCTTTATCTGTGGGACAGATTTCCAGATGTAGGATTCCTGGATCAAAGGGATATGTAGTTTTAAATTTAATAGATATGGCCAAAATGTGTTCCAGAAAGGCCGTAGTACATTTCCACCAACAATATGTGAGAGTCTTTAAATGTCTGCAGGTATAAATTCTTTTTAATTTTTGACACAGTGGTTGCTATAAAATAGTCATTGTTTGTATTTTCTGACTAGTGAATTTGAACATCCTTTTCATAAATCTATTGGACATGTAGATTTGCTTTTTTGTGAATTGTCTATTCCTGAGTCTTGCTTGAGTTCTTTGTCTTTTTCTAATTAATTTATAAGGTGTTTTGTAGATTATAGAATTCTTTTCTCTCTACTCTTCTGTTAGTCTGTCTTTATAATAATTTATGATTAATAAGTTTTAAACTTTTATATATTCAAATATATCTTTTATAACTTTTAGTTTACAGTCTTGGTTAAAAAAATTGTCTCCATCTATATATTTTTTACATTCTTTGAGATGTCCATAAAAGCTTTGAAATATTGCTTTTCTAAAAAAATTGAAGTATGGCATTAGTTGTGGAGTTTTCATCAGTTACATCAATTTCCTTCATAAGATTGAGGAAATTTCCTTTTATTCCTATTTCACTGAGATGTTATTGTTGTTGTTTTGTCATGAATGGATGTTAAATGTTGCCAGATACTTTTTTTTCCATCTATGGAGATAATCATAAGGTTTTTCATTTTTATTCTTTTAATATAGTAAATTACGTGTAAGATTTTCAAATGTTAAATCAACCTTGAATTTCTTAGATATTCCTTGGCCAAAATGTATCCTTTTTATATTTTGCTGTATTTTATTTCCTAATACCTTTTGAAATTATATGATGGATATTGGTAGGAATTTTATTTTTGGAATGCCTTTGTCAGATTTTGGTGTGAGTTACCTGGTCTCTTTAAATGAGGCATTATTAAATTATTAAAATCGTTTTTTTCAGAAGTAATTCGTGGAGTGCTGTAGTTACTTCTTTCTTAACTGTTTGATAGATAGACCTAAGTGCAACTACCTGGGCCAGAAATTTTCTTTATTGGAAAGTTTTTAATAACAAATTAAAATTTGTGTGTGTGTGTGTTTGGAGAGGCCTGGTTTGGAGACAAGGTCTTGCTCTTTTGTACAGGCTGGAGTACAATGGCACAATCACAGCTCACTGCAACCTTGACCTGCTGGGCTTAAGTGATCCCCCCATCTCAGCCTCTGTAGTAGCTGAGACTACAGGTGTGTGCCACCACACCCAGGTAGTTTTATTTATTTTTGTAGAGATGGGGTCTCACTGTCTTGTTCAGTCTGGTCCCAAACTGCTGAGCTCAAGTGATCCTCCTTGGCCTCCCAAGGTGCTAGGATTACAGGTGTGAGCCACTGCACGCTGCCCAAATTTTCATGTGTGTGTAAATTTATATGTATACGAATATATGAAAATTTATATATACATTTATATAATATATATAAGGTATATATAAACATATATCTTATATTCAGATTTTGTTTTATTTTGTGTCAGTTTTAGTTAATTTTAAAGAAATTTCTTTATTTCACTTAAATTAGAAAATTTGGTGTAAAGTTGTTCTTGTGTTACTTTCTTTTACCTTTCATCTTTGTAGATTATGTGGCGACAACTACTTTCATTCCTGATTCTAGTAATTTGTATTCTTTCTTTTCTCTTTACTAGTTTACTGAGGCATTTGTCAAATTTGTTAATCTTTTCAAAAAAATACTTCTGTTTTTGTTAATTTTAACTTGTTTTTGGTTTTATTGATTTCTGGTTTATTTTTATTATTTCCTTCTCTTTTCTTATTGGAGTTACTTTGCTCTTTTTCTGGCTTCTTACTTAAGATTGGAACTGTAGGTTGTATCTTTCTACACTGATCTTACTCCTTTCTCTCTTTTCCTGCCATAAACTACTGTTTTTCTATAGAGCTATAAATTTCCCTCCAAGGACTGCTTTAGCTACATTCCAGAAATTTTGATATTTTTTTTGTTGTTATTCAATTCAAAATAGTTTCTCATTTCCTGTAGAACTTTTTCTTTGATGCATTAGTTTTTTTTATAATTGTGTGGTTCAATTGCCAAATTTTACGTGGTTTCTTAGATATCTTATTGTTTTCATTTCTAATTTAATTTCATTGTGGTCATAAAAATTACTCTACAATTTGAATCCTTTCAAATTTATTACAACTTGTTTATAGCTCAGCGTGTAGTCTTTCTTGGTAAATACACTTGATAAGAATGTGTATTCTGCAGTTGTTGGGTGTAACATTCCGTATATATCAGTTAGGTTAAGGTGGTTAGTAGTGTTTAGATCATGTATATCTTTCCTGATTTTTTGGTATAATTGTTTTATGCATTCCTGAAATGAAATGTTAAAATATCCCAAGTATGACTGTGGAATTGTCTCTTCTCTATTTCTATCAATTTTTTGCTTCATGCATTTTGATGAAGCTTTACTCTCAAGTACTTAGACATTTATTATGTTTTCCGATGACTTGAGCCTTTTGTTATTACAGTGTGTCTTCATCTCTGGTAATGCTTTTGTCTTGAAGTTTATCAGATATCAATGTAGCTGCTCTACCTTATGCTTATTGTTTTCATGGTTTATCTTTTTTCCATTTATTTTCAGCTTCACTGTATTGTTTTAACTATAGTGCTGCTTTTGGAGATAGCATATAGTTTGGATCATAATCCAAATTTTGTTATTCAGTCTGACAATATTGACATTTTACATCATTTAGCAGTAGGTCTAGAAAAATATTTTGTATCAACACTTTATATATATTTATCTCATAGTTTTTAAGAGCTTCATAATATAATGCTTAGGAAAATATTGACTTAAAATTAATTCTGTATTAGTGAACTAAT